CTCTATACGGACTACAGTCGAGTCCCAGTGACTGGGGCGCCTTTCGAGATGGGGAGATGAACCACTGGACTTGGTCAAAGGGGAATCGAAGCTTTCGGCTGGAAGGTACCCGGGAGCCTAACCTTTGGAGAATCAAGGAGAAGCTGGCAGGGGACACTGAGAAGACGGTGGGTCACATCTTGGTCTACGTTGACGACATGCTTGTCACCGGGGAGACCGAGGTGATTGCGGCCTATCTGGACCATGTGAAAGGAATTTGGCAGTGCTCACCACCCGAATGGATATCAAAGGACGGGCCGGCAGTCAAATTCTGCGGCTTTGAGCTCAAGGAGGGGTCCAATGGATCCATTCAAGTCAGCCAAGAAGCCTATGCGAAAGAACTGGTGAAAAGGTATGGGTGCACCAAGACACGCCCTGTGCCTATGTCGCCAACTATGGCATCCAACATCCCTGAAGAAAAGGACTCTGAGTTGGACCCGAAGTTAGTACGCCAGGCCCAGGCCATCACTGGCGAGATCCTCTGGTTGGCACTGAGAACTCGACCAGACCTTGCTTTTGCTGTGGGGGTTATGGGACGACATTCCACAAAAAACCCAGGCTTTGTATGCCAACTTGGGAAGGAGGTCGTGGAGTACATCAACGGTTCCACGGGTACAGCTCTGGAGTACGGTCGGTGTGATCCGACTGATCGAGGACCTGATGATGGTCTTCCTTTTCCTCGATCAATGAGAAGATTGGAAGCCTATGCGGATGTCAGCTTCGCGCCTCAAGCTTCAAGATCTATCCAAGGAGTACTTGTACTCTACGGTGGGTCTCCGATCATGTGGGAATCGAGCAGACAGAGCTGCATTACCTTGAGCACAGCAGAAGCTGAACTCCTCTCGTATGTGGAGGCGATGGGCATGGCTGATTCAATGGGGTGCATTCTCGAGGCCTTAGAAGAAGTGCCTTGCCAACTCACTGTGGTCGAGCCTGCTGATGAGGAAGCGCCTGAGGAGCTCTACATCCAGGAGAAGATCAAGGCTCCGGAGGGCGAGTTCATAGAAGGAGTGACGGGGATCCAACGAATCATCTATGGCGACAACACGGCGGCCATTTCGGTAGCTAGTGCTCCGGAGGGGGGAGCGTGGAGGTCACGCCATTTGAGGCTGAGGAGTCATTTTCTACGAGAACGTCTTCGACATCGACAGTGGTGGTCAATTCGACATTTGCCAGGTTCTCTGTTGGTGGCTGACTTCCTCACCAAGGCCATCAGTGCGAAGCAGCGTTGGATCTACTTCTTCAAGTTCCTCAACGTGGTCACTACAGCAGCAGCGCAGTTCTCTGAGGAGTTCGAGGAGCAGGAGACTCAGGTGAAGGCCCTTAAGCTCAACCACGAGATTATCAAGATTGCGGCGGCCAGTTTGGGCTTTATGGCAACAAAGGCCATGCAGCCAGGACAACCTGGGTCGTATGATGAAAAAACTAAAACTCTTGTGTTGCTGTGGTTGTGGGTATACCTGAAGAAACGGGTAGAGGGTCTAAAACAACAGGGTCTGTTGCCGATGAACCCCGAAAAATGGAAACAGGAACTTGAAAAACCAGGTTCTACTCTCAAGGCGCTGAGGATCAGTGAGCGAGCTTTGTCCCATGACTCTGACGAGAAGGACTTTCAGTCTAAGTTGTCGAGTTCGGAAGCTGTGCAACTGGCTCACGATCTACTTCTAGAACTGCCTGCTGAAGAACGAGAAGGTGGTTTATCTGACCGAGATTTGAAGGATGAGAAGTACGTGGAGGAAGAAGCGATAATCCGTGTTCGAGCTCTACGTCTACATCCTGATCAAGACCTACAGCCTGATGATGAATTTGATCTACCGGCTGATGACGCGCTGTGGGATGATCTCGGACTATGTCCTGATCTTTGTCAACCTCGAGGTGTCCCTGGGGGGTCGCCACTTTTTCCTGAAGGAGCTCTACATTCCGAAGGAGCTCTACATCCTGGAGGAGACCTACACGATGGTGGTTCTCTTCGATTTTTGGTTTCAAGGGATGATCGAAAGGGGTCGTCTCTACATCTTGGAGGAGACCTACGTGATTGTGGTCCTCTTCGGCGTCGACCGTCGGTGGACGATCGATGGAGTTCGTCTCTACGTCCTGGAGGAGGTCTATGTGATGGTGGTCTGCCTCAACTTTTTGATTTTTCACCAGGGAGCCGACATGGGTCGTCTCTACTTCCTGAAGGAGCTCTACTTCCTGAAGGAGCTCTACTACATGAGTCAACTGGTCGTCATTTTGACGAATTTGGAGGTGGTATGGTCGTCAGTGGATCGCTGGAGGGGCCCTGGACGCTGGAGGAGGAGAATGGTCGTCAAGGGGCCCAATCTTCGACTTCTTCGTCTTCAAGTTTGGGACTACATCCGGGAGAAGATCTACATGGGCGACTCACGCCTTGCACTTCCTTTGAAAGGCCAGCCGGGTCTTTGAATTTGAGCACGCAGTTGTGCACTCATGCATTCTGCGTGGTTAACCTGGAGCATCCAGGTCTGAATTCAGATGAAACTCTGGACGAATGGAAGAAACATGGAACCCCAAGAGTGATTCATTCTCCTGAAAGGGTCATTGAGTTTTCCGAAAGGGTTAGAAGTTCTTCCGTTCCAACTGAGGTTCGAGGTAGCTATGGGGTTTCCATAGACGGTGGGAGGGAGAAAGTGAATTCTCTTAGGGTGAGTCAGCAGATGCTGAAGGCAGCACCTTCGTCCTCTCACTGTTCAATGGTTCAACGTAGTTGCACACCTCAGGAGGTGGCTGTCCAAGGTAGTCTGAGTGTAGCCGTGCACGATGGGGGGGAGAAAAAACTTTCTCCTAGTGTGAACCAAAAGATGCTGAAGGCGACTTTTTCGCCCCCTCACTGGTCAATGGCCGTAGCCTTGGTAGCAGTAGCTGTTTTTCCCCGTAGAGTAGCTGCTCAACCGAGCGAAGATGATGGCTTCGTCGCTGATGGAAACTTCCTGCTGCTGGCCTATGGATTGGCGATGGCGATCCTGGGAGCTCTGATCGCAAGATGGCTGACGCCTATCACCGTGGTGCCTGCTCCTTTGAGGTCTTCTTCGTCTTCAAGGTCATCGAGAACTTCAAGACGGTCGAGGTCTTCGAGGCGGTCGAGGTCTTCCAGGCGATCGAGATCTTCCAGGCGGTCGAGATCTTCCAGGAGGTCGAGAACTTCCAGGTCTAGGTCACCTTCGGACCATCCTCCTACAACAGAAACCAGGGGAGATTCACCAGATGAACTACGTGGAGTTTGGGCACCATGGCCTCCTGCTCCTGGAAATGCACCACGTGACGGTGAAAGCACAGAGAATGAATCCTTGCCTGGGAAAGGAAAAGGAAAAGATGGAAAGGGACGTTTGGCTGCCTTCAATGACTTGGGCATCTACCGTCCTGGCCTTGCAGTGCGGCGAAGACCGCCCTCGAGGGCCACTACGTCTGATGCTGGCGAACAAACGCCAGATGGTGAACCAACGGAGTTTCAAGGAGAAACTCAATCTGGTGGTGCTCAACTGAGCCCTGGACCAACTACGCCTACCACGCCCGGGACGGATGACACTGAGGTGTCTGGAAGTGTGAGCGCTGGGGGCACCTATCATCTTCGTGGAGGTGGTCTTCGCCCTCTCTGTCCAGTACCAGAAATTGGAGGTGATATCCCAAAGGCGGCATCACTGGTTAGGCCACCTTTGCCTACCGCGGGCTCACCTGCCGCCTTTGCGGCGTCAAGCTCTCAGGGGCCAAACTACAAGGCTCCACCAGCCGCTTTGGGACCACCACCACTTCCCTCGGTATATGTTACTGGATGTGGCACGGTGTACCACCTGAAAAATACATGTGGGAAGTTGAAGTGCGCAAGGCGCATCTTTGAGCGCACGGCCTGCGACCAATGTGGCTCTCTGGCCTTCAATGGGGGCAGAAACATTTGGTTGGTGCACGGCCGTTACCACCTGGAACTTCATGGAAACCTGACGGTTTCAAATACCACCACATGGGCTCCGTGCTTTGAATGTGGAGGTGGATGAGATGGAAAAGGTGAACTGAGAGCCGGTTGTCTCAAAGAGACAAGGGGGAGTGCGGTTACATTACAAATTTGTGACCCTGTCGCACTCAGGTTTTGCAAAGCTTTGCCTGGCCAATGCGTTGGCTCAAGGCGACTCAAACTGAGATTGCCAAGGAAAACAACGAGGTGTCATTGGGACGCGACTTTAGTTGTTGGAGCCCATAACATTGGGACGCAACTTTAGTTGTTGGAACCCATATCCACCTGGTTTGTAGCCTCCCGTATTATATATATATATATCTACATATATATATATATGTATATCTACATATATATATATATATATCTACATATATATGTATCTCTACATATATATATATATATATGTATCATGTTGTACCCCCAAAAGATCCAAACAGAATTTGGATTGATGTATACTGATGAGTATATTATATTTTATAAATTGTATTCGATATCATTCGATGTAAAATGGTGCGAGCAAGTTAAGTTAAGCATGAATCCGAACTTCAGGTCCACCAGTCAGCCCAGTCGATTATCTGGTGCTATTTTAGCTACAAAAAGAGTTGCCAAACCCTTCTGCACCAACTCCTTCTACTGCTTGTTGATATGTCAATCAGCTTCACTCCCAGTGTGATCAATTTTTCCAAGATCATCACGGGTCTATACTCGTCACCCACCAGTTGATGAAATTGGGAAAGTGAACGACACTGACTGAAACCAACTTGAATTCACCCCATTCATAGCTGCAAACAAGTTCGATGCTTTGACATGACATGTTTCGTAGTTCCAGCATGTTCCAGCCATTCAATGTCTTAGACTATTGCACATGTTGGGAGTGTCTTGATCCATTTTAACATATTTTAACTCATCAACAAATGTTTAACTTTTCTTCACTAACAAATGGTTTCCAAGCACGTCTTGAAGTGCTATGGCGCCATTGCGTCATGGTCATCTCCTGCATGTGCCGGTTGCTTTGCCAAGGCTTCCAATGCCAGCACACCTGGGGACAAAACCAGCCAGCAGGCCAAGCAAAAACGATGGGGTCGTAAGTTGTACTTATCCACTATTGATTACGGGGTTACCCTCCACTAATCAAACATTGCTGGGAATATATATATAAACTACAAATAATGGATATATATATATATAAATAAATTACGGTTAGATATGTATACATATATATATACACATTTAGCAGTCCAATTAGTTTTTTCACCAACATAAGAATCATCAATGGGAGTTGGATGACAAGTTATGATCCATTGTTGAATATGTGGTTACATACCATGGTTACAAAAGATGGTCAACCAGGAAAATTAGAATTGTGATGCTCATCACCAGAAAAGCAGTTGGATGGGTCACTTCTAACCAGCAAAATGTTGATGTTCACTGACAATAATGCTAATTTGGAGGTGTCCCATTTAATGGGGGATCCCCAAAACATCCATTTAACTCGGATTTTCCCATATTTTGAGGGATAATTCCCATGTGTTGGGGGTACTCAACATTGATGGTTTCAACATTTGGAGGTGTCCTAAACCATCAATGTTGAGTACCCTCATGACCTCTCGGACACCCCCATGACTTATCAGCAACGTTGACGGGATCGGGTTCACCATGACTTAAGTGAATCCCAGGCATAAACGCATGCCTTGTCTAATTGGAGTGATTACCCTCTGGTAATTTAACATAACTATTGAAAATGACCATTTATAGTGGATTTTCCCATTAAAAATGGTGATTTTCCATAGTTATGTTAGTTTACCAGAGGGTATCCCATATGATCGATCTATGGTATATTCACATGACTGGGTGATTTTTGGTGGCCAAATGTTGGGATTCATATTCAATAATATTCCAGCACCATGATTGCCATGGGTATTTTAGATGGGGATGGTTGATTCATAAACCGCGACTAGAGATGCAGATCCAAATGTGCGACCGGACGTTTAGGACATTTTTACGCTATGGGGATGATGCGGATGATGGGAACTGGGAGCCCTGCCGTATGCTTTGCGTGGCGTGTCAGACTCTTCATTGAAATCCTGAGCTGAAAAGGATTGAGTTGAGGTGAACCACCACCAAGCTGATTCAAAATGATGCAAGAAAAGAAGGAATCTCATCAGATGATCAATCCTCATAATTACAGTACTACCCTGTAAACAAAGATAACGATGTGGGAAAGCAATGGTTTCCCGTTCGGAACATGATCTACACGTAGAGTACCCCCCAGATCCTCAAAATTCAGAGTTTTCAGTGGGGAAACCAATGGCTCTGTGGGAGCCCATTTTAGGATGTTTTTTCCGACTCCCCAAAATCCCAAATTGTTGGTTATATAAACATATATTATATACCCCATTCTTAGATCCAATGATATCAGACATATCCCATTCAATATCCTGTTATATATATATCGTCATATACATATACATATACATAATATACATATGGCATTTTCCATGAAATAAACCATCCATCAACTATGGTACCTCCATGACTATGGAAACCTCCATATATCTATAGCTGTTGAAAATGGCCATTTACAGTAGATTTCCCCATTAAAAATTGTGAATTTCCATAGAAAACCATCAGAAAACATCAGAAAACCACCATATTCCCAGTGAAGTCAACGTCTAAGAGTCGTTTTGAAGCAGCTGCACCCAAACCTGCGACAAGTTTTGAACTGCTGATCTGTCCACCAGACATCTTCAGCGTTGACAACGGAAGCTATGTGTGTCTAGAAAAAAACACCACTCTATCAGATAGATCAAAGAACAAAATGTAGTGATAGTGAATATGGTAGTTAAAGATCACTATAGTTTTATAAGATAGATCCAACACCACACAGCAAAATACGTTGCCATCATTCAACACCATTCACTGTAGCATTTGTCCCGTGTTGTGAACTCCAAGTCCTCTGAGAATGGGTCAAAACTATCACTGCACCCCACTCCCATGTTCATTCGAAATACGCTGATTGAATTCTTTTTGTTTGTTGGTTATTGCGTTGATTGTTTTTTGCTTAACATGTTATCATTTGCTTTGACTACAGCTACGATCAACCACGATTATTGAACTATGTAGCAGGCGAAATTTTTGTTTTTCTTGTACACACACAGCTGTCGACTATCACTAACAGCTCCCCATCCCGATAACAGTTCCCCATCCATCATTGCATCATGATCTTTTTGCCGTTAATGAATGTATACTCCAATGATACTTTGGACAAAAAATATCCCGATGATTACATCAACGGTGATGTGAAGCCTTATTCCATACATTCCGTTCACATTGGTTTGATATTTGATCATGTAGGTCTGTCTGAAATAGGGAACCCCCCAATTTGATGGTTTGTCATCATTTTTGTCCAATGAATATATCTTCCGATCAGCATTTTCATGCGGCCCCATGGCCCCATTTACAAAGACCCCCAGCGAACTCAGAAGATGGAGCTTTCCAAGCCGTGGGGGTCCCCCAAATCATCCAAGTCATTAGCGGTCTTATTATTAAAGCTATATCATCCTATAGATCACTATTTTTCATATCATGATATCCCATTATTTATGGGATCTAAGTCACCATGGTTATTCGTGGTCAACCATGGTGACTGGAGATCTCCCATAGCTTCAGAACTCCCCATTTTTTAGATGGTTGATCGACTGATGGTTGATGAATTCCCCCCAAAAAAATGGTGCCCATTTAGTGGTTCATCGTTGATTAATATGGATTAGGTTGATGATTTCTCAAAAAAATATATTGATGGTTGATTATAACCCATAGTGAATGTTATATCCATGTTATATCCCATTATGATGAATATTAAAACCATGATAACCATTGTTGTACCTATATCATCCTATAGATCACTATAAAATATAACTATCTCTCATTATTTAACCCTAATTGATGGTTGATTATAACCCATAGTGGATATTATATGGCTAACCCTACACTGTTTTAAGATGTTTTAAGTATGGTTGAGTGTAACCCTACACTATTGATGGATCTATAATCCATAGGTATCTATATAACATGGTTGAAAAAAAAAAACAAAAAAAACATTATTTAACATGGTGATATTAATCCATATATATACTATCCCATCTTATATCCATGTTATATCCCATTATTTAGCCCTAATTGATGGTTGAAAAAAATCCCATCTGCTGGCGCCTCACTGCTATCAGCCGCTGCCAGGAAGGATGGCCAGGCGCTTTCGCAACGCGCCAACGACCGGGCATCCAGGAAGGAGAGGATCAGCTGCACCTTGGGACTTAGGACTTGGGCCAGGGCCAGGGATGACCCAAGATGTTGAAAACTTAAAGGAGATATCAGATGAAAGAAAAGATTATGTATGCATATTAGGAATCCTCTTTGATCTATATATATATAAATGTGTGTATGTAACTATATATAACTATATATATATGTAATATATGTGTAATATATATATATATGTGTGTGTAATATATATATATATGTAATATATGTGTAATATATGTGTAATAAATGTGTAATATATGTGTAATATATGTGTAATATATGTGTAATATATATATATGTAATATATGTGAATTGTATGTGTAATATATGTGTAATATATATATATATATGTGTGTAATATATATATATATATGTGTAATATATGTGAATTATATCTGTAATATATGTGTAATATATATATGTAATATATGTGAATTATATGTGTAATATATATGTGTAATATATATGTGTAATGTATATGTGTAATATATATATATGTGTAATATATGTGTAATATATGTGTAATATATGTGTAATATATGTGTAATATATGTGTAATATATATGTAATATATGTGAATTATATGTGTAATATATGTGTAATATATATGTAATAAATATATGTGTAATATATATATATGTGTGTAATATATATATATATATGTGTAATATATATGTGTAATATATATGTGTAATATATGTGTAATATATGTGTAATATATGTGTAATATATATGTAATATATGTGAATTATATATATGTGTAATATATGTGTAATATATGTGTAATATATGTGTAATATATGTGTAATATATATGTAATATATGTGAATTATATGTGTAATATATATGTAATATATGTGAATTATATGTGTAATATGTGTAATATATATGTGAATTATATGTGTAATATATATGTGTAATATATGTGTAATATATGTGTAATATATATATATATATGTGAATTATATGTGTAATATATGTGTAATATATATGTAATATATGTGTAATATATATGTGTAATATATATGTGTAGTATATATATGTGTAATATATATATGTGTAATATATATATGTGTAATATATATATGTGTAATATATATATATGTGTGTGTGTAATATATGTGTAATATATGTGTAATAAATATATATATGTGTGTGTGTAATATATGTGTAATATATGTGTAATAAATATATGTGTAATATATATATATATGTGTGTAATATATATATATATATATGTAATATATATGTGTAATATATATGTGTAATATATATGTGTAATATATGTGTAATATATGTGTAATATATATGTAATATATGTGAATTATATGTGTAATATATGTGTAATATATGTGTAATATATATATATATATGTAATATATGTGAATTATATGTGTAATATATGTGTAATATATATATATATATGTGAATTATATGTGTAATATATGTGTAATATATGTGAATTATATGTGTAATATATGTGTAATATATATGTAATAAATATATGTGTAATATATATATATATATGTGTGTAATATATATATGTGTAATATATATGTGTAATATATGTGTAATATATGTGTGTAATATATGTGTAATAAATATGTGTAATATATGTGTAATATATATGTAATATATGTGAATTATATGTGAGATGTGGAACAAATTACTAAGTGGGAAGTGAGGTTTTCCTCATAGACGTGCAGGTTTTAAAGGCCCCCCTTTTTCAGACAACCCCATAAAATATGGCTGTTGGTTCTTTATCGCGATATATCCCATCATATTCCCTTGTTATACCCATAAAATTGCTAATTACCCTATTTTAAGACAAAACCAAATGAGGTATTGTCAATGTATTATCAATGTGAGAGCAATATTGGATGGCGATGCAGATCCGACGTCCGTTCCGCGAACCTTGTGGAGTAAGACGGTTCCGCAGAGAGTTCTAAGTTTGAGAATGTTCAATTTCATCACAGCACTGTTCCGAGAACACTTTGTCGAAGTGGGGAAAACTTAGACGAGGTGCTGCGGAGCGCCCTGTCGGACGGGCATCCCCTGCCCGCTTTCTTACACTATCATCATGAGTACTCTTTATATTTGTATTAATATTCACTACTCAATTCCACCTGAAATCCTGCCTAAACCCAACTGACCCATTACTTTCCCATGAAAATCTCAGATGAAAATCTCCCATGATTATTTTCCCATGAAAATCTGGCTGAAACCCAACGACACCCAGATGTACGGTGGTGCTGCGACCCAGCGGCATGCCACACGTGGAGCAGCTGAATGAGCGGCAGGGGATCCTCTAAAGGTCCCAGCTCTGGCAAATGTTGATCTCAGGCACCGACGGAGCTGGACAACATGGGGTATCTTAGATATGATACACATACGTGTATATATATATGTGTGTACATGTATCATATATATATACCATAATAAATATATATATATATATGTACATGTATCATATATATAATACATATATATATGATAGATTTATATATATGATAAATATATCTATATATAATACATGTATATATATATATACATAATACATATATATATATATGACACATGGGGAGATCATGGCCCTTTACCATCAAACATTGGAGATTTCACTAGAAAAAATGTATGTAATTGGATATGAATGAGGTATATCGGCAATCAGCTATGTCATATAATCAACTTTAGTGGGACATTGATATATAGTTAACAATGATAGATATTGATGGAAAATCCCAGCCCCCTAATATTAGACACCTCCATTCTATGGTCCCAAATAAGTGTAAATTCCCTACATGTCCTTACATTTCCCATGGTCTCTGGGATGTTGTTGTGTGTATAGGGCTACTTGACCATGCCTAAATTGGCTTCGAAAGCACTTCAAAATTGCATAAATTTCCAAGGTCTTAAAAAATACTGCAGAATTGTGGCCATCGGTGATTTGAACTTCCTCAAGTGCCAGTCTGATGAGGTCTGGGTGTCCCAGCTAATCAGCTGTCGAACCACCAAGTTGGGCCTTGCAAATGGATGACACATCCAAAACACAATGCTCCACAAAATGACCCATAGATGGATTCAAACATATTCAAACTATGTTGAGGTGGACTTCACTTCAATACACCAACTAGCATTTTCTTCGCAAAATGCTTGGTCTTTGATTTGCAGCAGCCTTGGATCCTTGCAAAACGAAGCAAGAAAACATGGTTTGCTGGAAAATCCCCCATTTATAAGGACTATGTTCCCATTTATATAAATGCCTACAATCTTTAATCGCTATGTCCCACTGCCATGTTTGATTACCGGAGGGTAGCTCATCATCCATCTCTGGCTCTGCAAATCCCTTCGGCTTCAGGACTTCAGTGGGCCCTTCCGGCATCTGTTCAGTTGAGACCCGTCTCTCGAGACCCCCTGGATTTCTGTTGCAACCTTCAGAATGTTGGAAGTCTGGAAGTCAGAATTGTCGCTGCAAAAAAAATCTTGGACCATCTTGGACCACTTGGCGTCTCAAAATACTTCGTGTTTTCCATAAAATCCATGGGATTATCATGGATTATCATGGGATGATCATCATTCCCCTATTAAAAAATAGCCATTTGGGGGTCCCCACAACTTCCCACGTTGCTGCCGCCAAGGTGCGTGACTTGCCGAGTGCTAAATCGGTCTCCAGTGACCTTCGCGGGCCCGTTTTTGATGCCATCATTGTCGATGACTTCAGCAGAAATCACCACATCATCTTTCACACTTCATAGACTTATGATTATGATAGATGATGATATCTATATATGGATAACAATGATATTTCTCATCTAGTAGATTATACTTTTACACTTCACATTAATACATGTTATGTATCTTACGATGAAAGTGAGGTGATGATATTGATATATATATATATATTGATGATATCTAAAAATCATGAAAAAAACTCACCAACACGAAAATCATAAAGGTTTCTTTTCGCCACTTCCAATCCACCATGGCTTTCCGTGGCTTTCCATGGCGGCAGCTGAGATGCTGGAGATTTGGGCAATCCATGGCAGCTGGGTCGCGCCATGTACTTCTCCAAAGCTCTTCGTTCGTAGGTCCAGCCATCGGCTGCCAACACCGGATCCCTGCGAAAAAAAACCAACGAGATGGCGGGGCACCAAGGGGGTTGAGGGATGGTGAGGTCCTTGTACCATGGGGCTGAACAAAATCTATCAAAATGGATTTTGATGATTAGTTCTTCAATGTTGTTTAAGTGATTTGTATTGATTTTCGATGGTTTTGAAGCCGACCTTTGCTGCAAAAGCTTTCAGTCATGGTGTTTTCACCTGGGGCCTGCTGGAAGAAGCATCGCAGGATGTTTCGGAATTCCCAGACGCTACTTGGGGGGTGCACTTGAGGCTTTAAATGGGTACAGTATAACTTCGGAATTCTAACCTCCATATGTTGGGATATAATCCCACCTATAACTATGGCTATATTATAACCCACAAAAATTCGTCGAACTGCACCCCCAACAACACGTTCCCATCAGTCATCCACTATCATTCACTCCGCCTCATGACGGCCCGGTTGATGGGACAAACCAAAGAAGGTAGCAAGCCCCACACCATCAACCTCTTGGCACTGGAGCTCCGCTCCCCACAGGGGCTGCCTGAGGCAAAAAAAGTCTGGCAAGATGCAGTTGGAAACCAATCAATTGGCAGTTGCGACTGGCGGGCAAAAACATGGGTAGACTTGTAAACATACCAAACGATTTACCATCATAAATGGAATAGGCATTATGGACATTCTGTCTACTTACTAGTAGCAGTCCAAAGTGACAAGTTTGCGGTCGTAAGTGACACTATACATGTCATTTTGAATGGCGTGGTACCGAAATTGGTGTTCTTTATCTTTCCCATTTTTGAAGAATTTGACTTTTGAGCCACGTGGGTTTGCTTAGAAACGGTAGATGTCGCCAAATTGTGAGTCTTGAAAGGAAGAATGATGAACCATTGGAAATTCAGTCTTGATTGTACAATGCGTTTGGACAAACCTACATGGAACAAGTACTGAGGTTACAGTTCTGTCCAGAAGTTGGATGGTTCAAATGGTAGTTTAGTAATTTCACGGTATCTACCCAACGGGATCGACATTTGCAGATGGCCTGGTTCGTTGGACCAGCGACTGGCTGTCAGTTCGGCTTGCAGTCTACGACAGCAGGCGCGCAGTTGGGACAAATCCTGGCAAGTGGTGGGGGGAGGTGGAATAGATCCATGCACCATGATATTCAGCGTAACGATCCAGCAATCATGAGTAGTCAAAATTCGATTATATATGACTAATCATGATTTTAATTTATCATTAACTGACCATGATTAACAATGATTTAAAATCAATGTGATCATTTAAAACATGGAAAAATATCGCAAGCCCAACAAACCCAATATATCAAAACCCTCGCCTCACGCGCTTGTTCCAAGAGCTTCTTCAACTCTCGTGCCTCGGCAGTCCCCGTCAGTCCATGGTGGTTTTTCGCCAAGGCCATAGATCATCGAAATTTACCATGGGTTTATGGGTTTATGGGTATGGGTTTAGTATGACTAGTATGGATATTTTAATGGGATTTTAATGGGTTATGGCGGTTATGGGTTATGGATATGTTGATAGCTTATGGCTTTAGTATAAAACCATTCCCTTAAATGGTTTAAAAAAAAAAACATTGAATTCCGGATTCATATCATTCCTCTGAGAATTCCAATCTTTGGGAGTCACATCCCCACTATTCTTGGCTTCGCCAAGGAACTTGTGTAAGACCAACAAACACCATGGGCCATGAACTAATCCGATGGAGGTACTGACCAACTGTGAGGATTGGTTCAAAAAATCCACCTTCGATCGACCGACCTTCGACCCCGAGGAAAACTGCCAGTTTGCTTCACCCTAAAAAAGGCGACCCGTTCGCATCTGTTCACTTCATCATGAAACGCTGGAAAGTATATCAACTCTCTTCTTTTCTCAGATCAGACCTGTTTACAACTTGGGGTCACATAGAGATATGCCAACTTTGGCAGATTTCCTTGGCTCAAAAATATGGCCCCATCCTTCAGGCCCAGATTTCAATAGCCCCAGAAAGCCTGGTTTAGTAGGATGCGTTTCATGGAACTGGGTGCCCATACTTGGGAATATCATGGAACCATCCTGGTAACCAACCATTCAAGAATAACTCAAAACATAATCCCATTGTATCCCATTACAACGGTCATGACCACTTACATAAATAAACCCGGGCATCTGATTGGGGGGTTCACCCTGAAAACACCGTAACCAGATTGCCGCTATCGCATCTCACCTGGCTGAACCCCAGGCACGTTTTCTGCCACATTTTGACGAGCCATGTTCTGCACCAAAGAGGCTCGAGCACCGAAACGCAAGGCGCTGAGCGATTCCCCAGCGTTCTCCGTGTGCATGGAGGCAGTGATCATCACCTGCTCCGAAATGAGGATCTACCATCTTAAGTTATGACTAACAGTTTGCCATGGAAAATCACCATGCTATTAATAGGTAAACCCAGGTAAACCATCTATTTCTATGGGCCATCAAAAAACCATGGCTATGTTAGTCATAACCAGATGCTATGGTTACCATGATCTTGGATTGCCCATGTTCAAACAGATTCTACGGACGAAATGGGAAGGTCGCTTTGTCAACTGCTGAACAACATGATGGTGTCGCTGTCAACTGTAAGGAATGCTTTTTTCTAGACAATCACGAAAATCAATCAATTCAATCACGCAGTAAGAATTAACAACAACATACAACAACATCACATAACAACTAACTTAAGATATGTGATATATCAAAAAGCCGGCAAACAAAGTTCAACATCCCAACCACCTCAAGGATTTCAACGACAATTTCACGCATTCCAAGACGCCACAGTTCGAGCATTTCCACCCAGACAGTTGCGCAGCAGTTGCGTAAGCTTTGAGTCTCGATACCTTTCGCGATATCACGAGGTGACGGACAGGGATTGAACATTATGGGGATCCAAGAAAATCTGGGGATGGATCCTCCGCAAGGACGTACAGGACGTAAGATCCTCCGTGGACATTATTCTTTTCAATACCTTCCCAAGTCGGAAAGTCATTGGGTAAATGCGGTATCTTTCCAGGGGTGTTTTCCAGGACTTTTTTGGTATCTTGAACCTGGCTCTGTGAAAAAGGTCAGGAGACAACAAATCCCACGGTGTTTGGGAGATTGTTTTTTTGACAAGTACCCTCTGGTTATTTAACATAGCCATGGAAAATGGCCCATTTATAGATGGTTTACCTATTAAAAATGGTGATTTTCCATGGCTATGTTAAATAACCAGAGGGTAAATCAATTCATTGCACCAGTTTCCACGGAAAACATGGAGCGTTTGGAGCCACTTATGAACGCAAGTTGAAACGAAAAAAAACCTCATGGTTTTCCAGGATTCTGCTGAGCCGATTCTGCTGAGCTGCGGAATGTGCTTTTGCTTGTGGGCAAGGGCCCAAATCACTTGACCCAGGGCCAGTAGACTCTTGTTGATGTTCTTGGCCTGAACGTGATGATAAGCCATGGGATGTTGATGGCTTTGACGTACCATGGGACCATGCTAAAGGCAGAGGATGGAGAGTTCTGGAAAAGATTGGAAAAGTATCATAATGATATCTCAATGATATCATAACTGAGGGCCTTGCCAGTGCTGATTGGATGAATCATGAATGCACATGATTGCCAATGAGCTTGCAAGTCACTAAAGCCACCATCAAACATGTTCATAAATAACAATACATATCAATATACCGATATACCGTAATATACCTGTATAAATATCTAAGCAATGATGTTGGGATGTTTATTGATTGTCTAGGTGTTAATCAATTGTAATGTACCCTCTGGTTATTTAACGTAGCCATGGAAAATCACCATGCTATTAATAGGTAAACCCAGGTAAAGCATCTATACATGGACCATCTATACCATAGCTATGTTAGTCATAACCAGAGGGTATATCCCAAAATTCACCAAAAGATTCAACTTTTTTGGGGGGCTATCACCTTCCGTGTGACCCAATGGCGCTACCAGCCACGGCTCTATTCATCATATATTACTCTCGTATCTAACGCTATGATTTGATGACCATTTAAGGACTTTGACTTAAAAACATTCCACCGAAGATGGGCCACAGAATCCCTAACCCGATTAAAACCTCTAGCCACAGTCTCAAGATCTCCCCAAATCTCCCCAAAATTCCGAACTAGAGAATACAAAACAGAATTTCAGTCCCATTCCAGTCCCACCATCACCATCTTTCACCAGTGATCCCAGTTTTTTCCCCATGGCCCGGTGACCTCTTCGAGCTGCAGACCTTGGACGCCGGTCTTCATCACGCGTTCGCTGCCCGCCAAATCCACCAGATACAGCTGAGCGAAGCGCTGCTTCCCAGGATCCACCTGGAAAAACATTGGGAACACCTGGATGTTGTTGGGGGAAAATGTGGAGGAAATGTTGAGTGAATTTATGCTGTATTTATAAAAGATGATTTGAAGAGTGACATTCTAAAAGTGGGAGATGTAGACAATGTAGACGATTGAACTCTGGCAATACCAGTTCTATAGCCCAAAGACTTTGAACTTTGGATGGCGCTGAAGGATCAGTATCAGTAACAGTTTATCTGGATCAGTATGATCACTGGGCATCACCAGTTCATATCGCCTTGTGGCCACTCGTTGCATCCCGGGGGAACAGATCGGTCCGCTAAAATGGTGCCATCTGCTTCACCAAGTCTTCCTCTGAACGAATGTTGTCATTTTTGTTGGGCGAACACGATGAGAAGCTGCCAATAATTGACCATCAATCCACAGAAATATCCACAGAGTGGATAGGCGGTCCAAATATCACCGGGTGGCGCGGTTCGTGACCGTCACAATGAACACCGCATGGCTTCTGGAGGAATGCCGATTCATCTTGGTTTCTGCCTGTGCTCAGCTCAGGCTTGCTGTCTGGGCAGGTGAAAAAATTGAGATTTAATCAACAACAATGGAGATTCACCAAAAAAACATAGAGATTTATATAATCCACAAAAAGTGGAGATCTAACCAGACTAAATGGAGATTTAAATTAACCAAAAAAAATGGACATTTAACCAGCCCAAATGGGGATTATACCAACAAAAAATGGTGATATAATATGATATAATGTGGCCACAAGTCGGATATAACCAATATGTGGTCTCGCTCCATCCCAAAACATAAGGCAATTCATCCCATTTCTACCGTCCAAATTGGTCAAGTTTCAAGATTTTTCAAGACACTTGCCATGTAGGTCCAGTTACGGTTGCAAGCCGCAGGGTTTATCTGGTTGGTGGTTTCAACCCCCCTGAAAAATATGAAAGTCAAATGGGATTATTATTCCCAGTATATGGAAGGTCATAAAATTCCATGTTTCAAACCACCAAAACCAGTCGTGTTGCTGTCTGTGCTGTCTTGGTCAATATTTCTCTGATCACGGATGGCCGCTCAAATTCTCCAGTTTTTGATGGCCCTGGTCATCGTGGTCACTCCAGGTCATTGTGGTCACCGGGGTCCAGTTGTAGGGTACGGGATGACTGATATCCGAAAATTTCACCAAGGGCCAAAAACATCGTTTTGCGATATGTTCATTGAATGTCATTGAATCCCCCCCCACTTATGACCACTTTGATCAGGGCCGCTGCTACTTGACTCTAATTAAATCGAAGTTAAAACTGGATTAGAATGATTAGGCTAAAGAAAGCTAGAAAAAACAGAAGGAAACTAAATAAGTCCGCTAACCCACCCTGCACTCAGTTGTACTGATATGTTGTTCTGACCGGAACCCCTGCCTTGAAAGGCTTCACCCATCACTGACTTTTCCAGCCTAATCTAGCTTTACTTCGTATGGATGTGTACGCAAACAAGAGCTAGAGAAAGCTAGCACACGCTAGAAAAGATTACAAACACTTTAAACAATAAATACCAAACAAAAAACGAGGAACTACTAACTCTCCCAGTTTTCCCCTTTGGCTCCTGGAGGTTGTTGTTGTTCCAAAATCTATTTTAGAAGCACGTCGTGCAGAATCCGCTGAAAGTCAAACCAGATGTTCCGATGGGTTTTTGAAGGATCCAACGTTATTTCAAGACATCATTCAGAAGCCCTCTTCGACGGTCCAAATCGTTGGGATGTATCATCCATTATCATTTCCCAAAGACATTCATTTCCCATATATGTATCAGCCATTAGATTAATATTCTCAGTTATATGATATCCATATACCATATATCATCAGTGTTATATATCAGATCATATATCCCATATCATTCATATATCTGGGTAAACTATAATAATTCACTAACCTGAATTGTTGGGCCATTTGGGGCTGATTTCCCTTACTAACCATGATTCCAGTGAGGGAGAACAGTGAGGTCGTTATAATTTACCCAGATATATTTGATATATTGTCAGTCTTCAAAACAATGGTGCCTGATGACGGTTGCGATTGCCAATGCGCATCACCTCCATTGCCTTGGACGCTCGGATGGAGGCTGCTTTCCATGGATTTCCCATAGAGGGGGTTTCCAGAAATGGGGGATCCCCAAAATGGATGGTTTTCAGGGAAAATCCTGTTAAAATAGATAATTTGGGGGTACCCCCATTTCAGGAAACCTCCAATATGGGATTGTGACAATCCCCAACATCTTGGATAGTTTTTTTACCCCAGATCATAGTCAACCAAGAGACCAAGAGAGGCTTCGGTTTTGAGCACTGCTCGCTTGGGGATTAGCACATCAATCCCAGCTTGGAACATTGAGATGCTGTAAGAGTCGGGTCATGACTCCTGGTTTACCACCTTGGCCTACTTATAAAACAACTTAGCTAAGTAGGCTAAGTAGGGCTTTAGTTGGTGCACCCATTGGGACCCATTGAATCGTGGGTAAAGTCCTGCAACTCGGTCTGCGCCACTTTCTGAAAATCCAACCAGCCAAAACTGCGGCCGCGATAAAGAACACGTCTGATATTAACAGATCTGCAGTTCCACTTTCTAATCTTTCTTCGGTGGAAGGGACCCATGACTTTTTGTTTGAAAATCCTAACCTCAATAACCATCAAAAACCATTCAAAAAATGCGTATCAACATCTATTAACCATGATTTTCCCATTATAGAACCATCTATAGTTAACCATCAATATCTATTTTCCCATCTATTCACTATATAAATGTTCCATCTACTAACCCTTTCCACAAGATTTATTTTTCCATCGTTGTTTTGCCCAGCCATCCCAAGCGCCCAGCCCTCCAGCCTCGTGCACGGAAGTCACGGGCGTTTCGGTCACGGTGGGCAGATAGAGCACCTCGCCCTGCTCACCTGCAACAAAAAACGCTGTTTTGGATCCAGGAGAAGTTCAGGTGCCATGAATTTTCTTGATATATGGATATTATATATATATACTGTATGTGCATATTATATGTGTATATATGTATATATATACATATATGTAATATGTACATATATATATGCAATAGATTATGTAATATGTATGTATGTATATATCTATATATGTCATGTGTATATATATATATGTAGTTGTACCACGTTTTGCCCAGACATGTCAAGGTCCAAGGCGCGCATGGCTGCGGATTGCAAGCCCTGCTCTCCAACCACTGCACCACCGCGCAAGGGTGAGAGCAGGTCCTGGCTGAAGATTCTGGGATTAGTCCTTCCAATCCTTAGATATTCCCCACGTTCCAAACATACATTAAATTATATATATATTCACCAGAATTCAACCATATAATTTTTGGCCCCAGCTTCAAAAAAAAAAGGTGCATTGTCAGCAAACGATCTAGGTGAGAAATACCGGGTCCAATCAAAATAGTTTTTCGCAGTAATGTTAACCCGGATCAATAAACCCTGGTTGATGAATTAGAAGCTATGTTCATATTATTTTCCCTTTAAAGGAAGTGCAGGTTGCGACTAAATCGCTACCCCCCCATTTGAACAGCGGTGGGAAAATTGCCAGGCCAGCAGGAAGTAGGAAGTGCAGGCTAGGGATAATTACGATAAATAAAACATTGAGCCATTATACAGATACGTATATATATATAAAGACATATAAACATATACATATACTGTATACATGTATGTATATGTATCTATCTATCTATCCATTCATCCATCTATCTATAACAGCTCATGAATGGCTTTTCAAGTGTAACCGCCTCCGTCCAAACACATTGCGAGTGGATCCCAGGCATCGAGAATTTGGGTAGGGACCATGCCGCGTTTTGCCTATCACTGGGGGTTAGTAAACACTAACCCATCATATGTACCCAATATTTGTATACACATAATATGTGTCATATATATATATATATATTCATAATAGTAATAATAATAATAATAGTAATAATAATAACAATATATATATATTATACATATTTTATACACATCTTGGGTACATATGATGTATATACCCATCCGATTCTTGGGGTAGCTCACCAGTAACCCCGGTAGCGCCAAGATTCAATCACGGTCTCGTTATAGGTCTCCACCTCATCTTTCGTGACACATGGCAAAAACAAATTGGGATGGGAACCTTCTCTATCCATTTCTTCATCAGCTCACTGCGAACACAACATTAATATACATATAATATATACATATTATGTATATGTATATAATTACATACTATATATATATATATGTATATATATATATGTGTGATATATATATAATACATATTATGTATATAATTAATTATATATATATATTCTCCTGCCTTTGCTGCCCGTCTCCTGTTCCAAGCTACGTAGGAAGCCCTCAACTGAACCAGTCCTTGGGTGTTCTTGGCGTACTCCAGGAGCTCCTGTTGGTTAAGCCACCGCGAATAGGTAGGATCATCATACCTGTTTTGGAGTCGAACAATTTTTTTATATAGGTAACTAGATATAACTACTGTAGACATCTGTAGACATGTTATGGTCAAGAGTGTTGGGTTTCCTGTGAAATTTCCATCCATTCCATCCACATCTTCAACTAAAAATCAATAGGTTTGAAGAAACAAACATGGAGACATCAAAAAGTAGCAAGTGAAAGGTCAACCAGACAATTTTTCTAACAGAAGTCCCGCATTCCTCGAGTGACATCTCATGTAGAACTGGGGAAACATACCACTTCAACTGGCACTCGATGTTGCATTTGAACTACCCATTGTTGAAGGAAATGACCTTCTAACATCTGTGGGTCAGCTTCGAGACAAATTTGTGGAGATTCAGAAAATGCATCCAATGCAGTGGCAATCAAAAAAATAAAGGTAACTAGAGGATAGATGAAGGAATGACGACTCTGACCTACCGTTAATGAATGAAAAAAACACCAGAAAATGGTGGCCTACCGTCAAGAAGATCAGAAGAAAATCCTGTGATGACCCAACAGCTGAAAGCTGGTGCAAAAGTTTGGGACAGTTTGAATAGTCCATTTTTGAAGCTATCAGCTGTGAGGTCAAAACATCATAATCATCATGTATGAAATCGCCCTGCTGTCAAAAAAAAAGTCACATAGCATCACATAGCCATGGGAAAATCGGCCATGTTGAATTTAAATAGGTACCCTCTGGTAAACTAACATAACTATGGAAAATCACCATTTTTAATGGGAAAATCCACTATAAATGGTCATTTTCAATAGCTATGTTAAATACCAGAGGGTAGATCATCTTTCTCTCCGACACCTTGGCGCCATTTCCATTTCCACACGAGCGACGACAGGCTTCACACGAGCGACGACCACTTTTTGGGTTGTTTGGGCCATGTTTCATGGGCTATGTCGGTTTACTCAGGGTAAAACTACCATATCTATAGCTAATTTTCCAATCAACAAATCATATGTTGTAACTGTTATATTTGATTTCTCTTGCCATGCTTGATTGGCCCAGGGTCATTTTTCGTTGCTTCACCACGCCTGCAGGGCTCTCGGAATGATGCCCAAAGTCTCAAAGTCCAGCTCCTGAGAAAAATGGGGCAACAAACACTGCCGAAATGATGCGAGATGTCTGGTGGCTTTCCACAATCCATGGGATTTTTGATTGGGAAATCATGGTGAGATCAATGGAAAATCCATGCAAATATCAATGGAACATAATAAGGAAACACACACACAATGAAGAAGCATGGAATGTTGTTGATTACGAAATATTATGAAATAGCTCAGAAACATCCAATTGCTGCAACTTGGATCGAAAAATCTGAGGCATTGAGGATCATATCCCAAAACATTGCTTATGTCATCTTATATAAATCCCAATCCCTAAGCCCTGAACATTTCCTGGTCATTATTCAATGAGAAAATGGATGATCCTATCAATCAACGGCTTCACAAGGCATGAAATGTCCATCATCGAACCATCAATTTCTGGCTGAATTATATGAATTATCTAACCTAAAAATAGCTATCATACGGCCAGCTATGGGGATGGTTCCCCCAATCCTTTCATCATGAACCAGAATTCCCAAGAACGACTTCTAAGGTCACAACAATCCATTCATCCAGAACCTCGTTTTTAAATCCCAAGTGTATCCCAAATATATCCCAATTATATCCCGATCTATAAATCCCCTCAATGTTGTTGAATCCCATTATATCCATATAATATCCATATTCAACCCCTATCAAAATCCCGAATTCTATACCATTCTTGTTGCTAATATCAATCACTTACTGGTGATTTCCTCATGGATGTCCCCATTACACCTCCATTTCTTGTGGTCAAACCCCCATTTTTTGGTTAAATCACCAGAACATCACAGAAAAAATATCCCTTTTTAGATGGTGTTTGGATGTCACCATTTTGGATGGTAAATAAGATGGTAAATAATAATAATAATAATAATAACTATAGTCTATGGCACATTGCCATCTCCATCGCTCCTTGTCTTGAACAAAGGCTTGGGCACCCTGTGGGCCGAACCTCGGTTTAGCGACAAGCAATGTATCATTGGGTGGGGTCCCATATGTGTATATATATACATAATATAGTGTATATGTAAACAATATAGAAATATAATGATATACATATGATATACATATGTAGAATCATAACAATATGTCTAACATATATGTACACTATATATCTGTATATACCATATCTATGTAGTGCGTATGATATCAATTTATCACTGGGTGATACCATGGCTTTCCCTAAGTCATGGTGATTGTTGACTCAGTTGACCCTTTCATGAAGATTTAGCCTCAGAAATTCCCCTGAAAAATGGTGGTTTTAACATGTTTTAATGGGAAAATCGACATCTTAGAAACTGCTGCATCGTTTTCTACTACGCTCCACTGTCCACTAACATAGATCTGGAAAACCCACCATGAATGCAGATCATTTTCGGACCGGGTTTCCCCATGGCTTTTCCACATGGTTTTGTTAGTTTTACCCTAGCATAACCATCATGTATAGCTTCTTTAAACCACTAAAAATATGGAAATGTATTAAAAGTATGATCGGTAAATGGTTGATTGATAACTAGTTCGGGGGTAAAAAACTGCCTGGTTTACAACGGCTTTCTTTTTTGGATCGGACTATACGACTATATACTGAGTGTCGGCTTTGGGCAACAGAGGCCTGGCATCGGTCCAATTTTGACCATGATGACTACTGCAAAACGTTTGATAGTTGAAACCCATGGTTTCCCCTATGTTTTAGTGTTTTAAACCATCCAAAAATGATGGTTACGCTAGGGCAAAACTAACAAAACGTGTGATGGTTAAAACCCTCTTGTTTGACCATTCCTATCTTCCATGATTTGAAAAAAGCACCGTGCTCCATGCTGACATGCAGCATGGTGTGGGTTTTACCACTTCCGGTTTGGCCATAGGCAATGATTGCACCGTTGAAGCCTTGCATGTCCATGAGCAATGGCTACCCGAAAAGTGTATTTCTTTCTATGGGATAACAATGATAGACTATGAGAATCTATGAGATATGTAACATGTGTATAACATATATGACGTATATATATATGACATATAAGATATATACAGTAAGTATGTTGACATATATTGCTTTGATTTCTCTGCTTTTATTCCTTTATCTATGTAGCAATCTTTGACGACGCAAACGGGGCCGAAAAAGCGATCTGAGCAGCCATTGATGACGCCCTCGACGATGGGCTGCGCGACACTGTGATAGATGTCCACTTGAGAAGCTTCCGGCTGGAAGACATGGTCATAGGCGAAGGGAAATTCAGAGATTCCATGAGTCCTGATGTCTGAGATGTCTGCACTGGCAGGGTATGGCTAAAAATGATGTGTTGAAAAAGCTGAAAGATGTGGAAATCGAGAAGGAATTTTTAGTGCCTTGGGGGCGCAGTTCCATTTAACAAATGAATGTGTGGCTATACTTGCAGGGTTTATGAAAACATATGAAAACTGTGGGTGTTTATTGCCATGCTTGTAGCCAGTAAATAACCTCAACAGCACACCCCTCATGATTCCAACACTGGCAGTGCTCCACCCATCTCCATCGCAGACATCGGAACTACATCGGATGCCGAAACTGACCCAGGCCTTTGTATTCTCAAGGAGCAGGTCTGTCCATCCCGCCCAAATTCTACACAAGAGACATCATTTCCATCCCTGTCAGCGTGGCAGTGACCCCTGGCAGTGACAGGCAGGAAATGATAGGAAAATGCTAGGAACAATATAGGAAAATGATGGAAAATGAAAGGAAAAGAAAGCACGTTATAAGAAAATTGATGAAATCTGTGGGAAGCTTTTGTCAAAAGATAGGAAATGGAAAGCTGAACTCAAAGCCGCACACAAATAAAAACATGTAAAAACAATGGAGACACTTATCGCAACGGACTACAAACGCAAAGTGTGAGTCTTGAAATTGGTGGATCAATCCCAGGTAAGATGGCTGATAGCGGGATAGCCAACATTCGAGGATAGCCCACATCAATCCTGACTACATCCCCCGGTCACAAGGATGAGCCTTTAAAAGCAAAAGTGGTAATCTTGATGATTGGATATATAAATCATATATGTGAAACAATCTTTATATGATATATGTGACAAATCATAATCATATATGATACCCTCCAGTAAATTAACATTTCGACCCTGGCAGTCATCGGGGTTGGAAGATTAGTTTCCACTAAAAATGGGTGATTTTCAGGGTCCAACTGTTAATTTACCAGAGGGTATATAATCTTGAATCCTTATAGCATATATGTGAAACCATGGCCAAATGTCCGGTTTTGGACCAAGCTCTCCATGACAAAAACCCACCAAGGCCTATCCACCGGCCGGAAGCGTGCCGCAATGCGGATGCTCTCCTGGGCAGTTATGGCATGTCATGGTAAGCGACATTAAGTGACCCATGACATTATCAATGTGATACCAACTATCTTTTATGTGTATATATATATGTATATGTACGTGTATATATATACACACACATATTGGGGACAAGTGGGAAACCAACTATGATATGCAGATGTAATGCCAAAAAACTCACCAACAACATGATATATGGGTCTCTCTGGAAATGGGGAACACCTCAAAATTGCCACTTTGAAAAAGAAATATCATGCTGAAGCAACAAAAAATTGGATACCCTATGTTCAGACAAACCCATATTGCCTCCACCAATTTGGATATGCATATTTGCCTACGTGCGTAAAATTCACTGAAAAATCACCAAAGACCACCCATGACCAAAAAGCAGCTGCCCGCCAACAGAACTACATACAACGATGGGATGCCAACAACATTGCTCGGACGTCGGGGTAGGACGCCATCCAAGCACATCACCATCATCGTCGTCATCATCGTCATCACTGAGTTCCCCACTCCATGACTGAAGTTAGCAGGTGCAACTATTTGGGGGATCTGGTTATTTCAAAACTGGTCAATCAGGTGGGCCATCTAAGTTACATGACGTTGGAAGAGCGTAGCACCAAGAGCGTCTTCTAAGTTACATATGTTACATGCAGTTGGAAGAGCGTAACTAGCATCATCCCATAGAATTCCCCTGCCTAGTGTCTCTTTGTTTGTTGGTGATACCTATATTACAACAATGACATCCCCATTTTCTGCCCAGAAATGGGTACATTTCGATGGCGTCGCCTCCTGCGAGACCTTTCGGCATCCGGCATCTTCCCAATCCAGGACCTCAAATCCTGCGGAAGGGGATGAAAATTGATGGTTTTCGGATTACACCCTGGTTTTCCATACAAAAAAACATGGAAAATCACCAGAAATTGAAGTCGGAGAAGTCAACTATTTAACTATTTCGACTGGGCCATGCTATCAATAGCTATGTTACTAATATTTACTATAATTATGTTGGTTTACCAGACCAGAGGGTATATTGAAATGGGAATCACATGGGCTGAATTCTTCATCTCATGGGAGACGCCACGTACCACGTACCACGTACGCGTCCGTGGCCAGGAGTCTGCGACGAGGTGGGGAATAAAAGGGGAAGAAGATGGGAATAAGATGGGAATATGGCAGTGTGTCAAAACCAATAGTACCCCTTTTTTGTTCACATCAAAATAGCTGGGTTAAAATGGATGTGAATAACCCACATAAAATGGTATGTATAGGTATTGACCCATACCCATATGGATATAATTTCGGTATAATGGAATATGTTCATGGGATACTATACCAAGAATTACGAGTTCCCTACCATAGATATGAAAAACAGATGGAGAAAACTGCAAACATGATCTACACATGTTGAGGGTGCATGTGTTTTCTATATCGATGTTAGTTTTTTAGATGTGTTTTCTTTGGCTCGGCCTCAACCTTTATGAATATCTCGGAAATCGACCCATGGCCCATGCAGATTGGCAAACATCAAACAAAGTCAGTAAAGTTCCCATCTAATCATTATCCGACCCTCCGGAAAATAATATCGTAAAAAAAAAAGAAAAAACATGTTTGGTATGTTCAAAAAAAACTCATGGTCATAGTGATGTTCAAAGTCCGCAGAATGTCAATGCCCAGTCCCATTTGCACCTGCCGCACGGGGCGCGGTATCTGGAACTCGACTCAAGTCAAATGCGCTCGCGGCCCTGGCATGGAAGCCCGGGTGACCGTATGGAGGTTTCCTAAGTCATGGGGGTACCCCCAGTTCTCATCCATTTATAGATAGGATTTGCCATGAAATAAACCATCCAGCGAGCTTGGGGTACCCCCATGACTATGGAAACCCCTGTATAGTTGTGGATAGTAATACTGGTTGGTGGTTTCAACCAACCCCTCTGAAAAATGATGGACTTCGTCAATGGCTTTCGGATGACATCCCATCCTTCAAGTATGGAAAATATAGGAAAATAATATCGCCATGTTCCAAACCACCAAGCCGAATCGGATGGTCATGCCATTCATCCTCCCGCCTTGGCAAAAGCTTCTCAGTGATGTCAGGCGAGGCCCAGGTTGGCCTTGGAAGATCTGGAAATGCTGGTCGACCTGGCGACTGAGGCGACTGAGGCGACTGAGGCGACTGAGTTAACGATTCACAGTGGCCCTGGCCCTGGTGGAGTTTTGGGGGATACCGGGATAGCCCCTAAATAGTGGCAATCTATGGCAATCTATGCCAATCTATGGCAATCTATGGTAATCTATGGTAATCTATGGCAATCTATGGCAATCTATGGCAATCTATGGCAATCTATGGCAATCTATGGCAATCTATGGTAATCTATGGTAATCTATGGTAATCTATGGTAATCTATGGTAATCTATGGTAATCTATGGTAATCTATGGCAATCTATGGCAATCTATGGCAATCTATGGTAATCTATGGTAATCTATGGTAATCTATGGTAATCTATGGTAATCTATGGTAATCTATGGCAATCTATGGCAATCTATGGTAATCTATGGTAATCTATGGTAATCTATGGTAATCTATGGTAATCTATGGCAATCTATGGCAATCTATGGTAATCTATGGCAATCTATGGTAATCTATGGCAATCTATGGCAATCTATGGCAATCTATGGCAATCTATGGCAATCTATGGCAATCTATGGCAATCTATGGTAATCTATGGCAATCTATGGCAATCTATGGCAATCTATGGCAATCTATGGCAATCTATGGCAATCTATGGCAATCTATGGCAATCTATGGTAATCTATGGCAATCTATGGCAATCTATGGCAATCTATGGCAATCTATGGCAATCTATGGCAATCTATGGTAATCTATGGCAATCTATGGCAGTCTATGGCAATCTATGGCAATCTATGGCAATCTATGGCAATCTATGGTAATCTATGGCAATCTATGGCAATCTATGGTAATCTATGGTAATCTGCTACGACCATTTTCGTCCCACCATGCCGAGAGCGCTATCTGATTATTGGAGATGGTTCAGTGAAAACAACAAACACTTGGAAAAGTGTTGAAAACACACAACAAGATGAGGCAGAAGAATGGCTGTGATATGCGGCGATGTGAAAGACTGTTCCATACTGATTCAGAAGTCAAACCTGTGGAAGTGACTGTAATTGTTTGATTTTTGCAAACGGTGGATGTGTCCAATATCAGGGATTTTCGCAAAATGCTCCAAGATCTTCCAAAGTTCCATGAAAGTCCCATTTAAATCCTATGAAAGTCCCGTTATCATGAGGGTCATGAGGGTCCATCCACGGCAGAACAAAGCCACCAGTTTTTCGGCGAGACCTTCCCCCAAACTCCAGCCTGGAGATTCCATCGACACCGACAACATATCATGGATTTTTGTTGCACCGTGGAAAGAACTGCGAAGATATACATGGCTAGTCTTTGATACCCCGCAAAAAAATAGCTAAAAATAGATTGTCAAATCTATTCTGCAGGGTCAGGGTAGTGTATACCTCTTATATGTGTGAAAATTACTACCCAGGTTAATTACACAGGTTTACCCCGGAAACATGGTGTTTTTGATGCGTTTTTGATAAGGTCGCTCTCGCAACCGTGGGGGTTCCATCGATTTCTGGCTCAGGTCAATGCTTCTTCTGCTCTGAAGCTGAAACAACACAGCTGCAGAGGGGCGAATTGCAATCACTGCAGCAAGGGATTTCCTGGATCTCCTGGTATTTCCTGGTGGCTGGTCCGCATGTTGAGTGGAGAGGCTCACATGAAGAAAATTGGCACATGCCAGCACTTCTTCAGAGCAAAGTCCACTCTCACTGGAGAGTTCCATCTGGAAATCAGGCAGAAACAAGGGCCAGGGTCCTTACAAAGCCTATCGTCAACCGCAGTTTCTGTGTTTCTCCCTTTCAATTTGAAGCTGTCTTGCCCTAGCCGGCTCCGGGGTCCTTTGCCCGACCGGGGACCTATCATGGCAATCATCGAGTTGAATTCGTCGTTGGAATGGACAACGGCTGTTTCGCCGTCATGATCAAATCCAGATTCACGTCCGTTTCTCAGAAAATTATATACTGGCAGTGATCATTCCACCGAAATCGCTTGTGATTAGTGTCACTTCCTATTATATGGTTCTCCCATGGATCCTATGACAAATTCTTGGGCCATGTTGGGCCATACAATTCCACCAATCTTCCAGTCGTGTCACTCCTCTGCAATGATCACTTCCAAAACATATCGGAGGGTTCACTCACTCCACCTGAACATAGGGGTGCCGCAGCCGCAGTCGAGAGCTGGGATTCCTGTGGGTTTGTTCATAATAAAATCGGATGGTTTATCAATGTTTATCATTTACCCCCCCAAAAAAAAGCAATGGCACTGTTGGTACCTCATGACGGAAATGTGTATCTGCTGGTCTGATAGTGGGGATTCCTGTTTAGTTTCCCCTTAGATAACAAATCCAGAAATTGAGGATGGTTTTGCCGCTGGAACCAGGATTTCAGGAACAGCTATCCACCTGACAAGCAACTGGATTTAATCATCTAAATGGCGATGAATCCTTTATAGAGATACCATATATGATTATATATGATATACGGTGGTTTCAACCCAACCCCTCTGATTTTTTTTAGTCAGTTGGGATGATTCTTCCAAATATATGGAAAGTCATAAAAAATGCTCCAGACCACCAACCAGTATATGATTATGGTGGCACAAGCCGTCCCATGCAACCGCCACTTCCCAACCATTCAGCGCCTGTGGTGGTCAACTGGATGCTAGCATCCGAACCTACATCGGCAACTGAAGCTTGGGATGGGGAAACCCTGCCGGCATCTGCCGACAATCCAATGGATATTTCAGTTGTTTTCTCTGGAGCTTTTTCGGATCCCCAAGTCTTTCAGGAAAAATGGGGAAAGCCACTGATTGTGGTTACATAAGTTACATAATGTTACCTATAGTTACATAGCCTCCAATTTTTCGGGGTCAAAATTCAGTTCAGGTCATATCATGTCATATCTGGCGGATGTGGCCCTCGCATGTACCATCATCCCCTTTTCGGTCTCTCCACGGTCGACCGGTTTCTGCGCGGCATGGCTGTCGGCCGCGCTGCGTTAGCTGGTGAGATGCGCGGAGTTCTCCACACACCTGCCGAAAATCACATCCAAATAGCTGGTTTTTGCTGGATGTTCATCCCCACATATATATATATATATGGTGGTTTCCATAAATGGGGGTGGGGATATCCCAATAGCTGGATGGTTTATTGTTTTTTTCATGGAAAATCCATCTTTACAGATGGTTGATTTGGGCGTAGCCCTATTTTAGGAAACTTTCATATGGCATCATAGGTATTCACCATGTTCATTGAAAAGAAAAACGATGACATTTCATGAGATTGGTCTTTAAGGGAAGACTTCAACGGCCGAGGATGGCAATCATGGTATGGCCGGTATAGCCATGATGATCATCATTCATCAAGCAAATATAGGATTTTAGGGAAATTTAAGCCTCACAGTTTGTAGGACAGCAAAGCTGTCCTACAGTAGTTTTTCGTCGGGTGCTCTCGCCTTGCCACTACTTCATCCCATTCTTCTCCGCGATTTCTCTGGTGCGTTTCCGACGTCATCGGCACATAGAGGACTCCTGCCGATCATCATGACCCGCAGTACAGATATCCCGAGATATCTCACGGGTATACACATTGTGGCTTATCCTCAAGAAATCAGGTACATATACCCTCTGGCTATTTAACATAGCTCTGGAAAATGGCCCATTTACAGATGAATTTCCCATTCAAACCTCCATTTATAATAAATTTCCATAGCTATGTGACATAAACATATGGTTTTTTTTCTTATGAAAATCCCCATCAACATGGCTATGTTCATGTATCTTTGCCATCCTTTGCCATCCCCCTTTGATGATCCCCATCTGAGCAGCCGGCGCAAGTGTCGAGTGACCTCGACTGAACCATCCTGCAACAGATCGATGCTACACAACCTCGCAGCTGAACTCAACTGGCCAAAATGTGGGGATTTTTTTTACCAAGGAACATCTAGATTGCATAAAAAGAGCTATAAATGCTGGTATATATATATATATAAATGGGCTAATTAATATATATATATATATAAATGTAATCATGATGTTCATAATCTTAATCTATAACATCTAGATGGGCTAAATCATCCAATTCCAAATGGTGGTTTTCCCATGGACATGTTTAGCCCATGGTCCAAGTGTCAAATCCGTTTTGAGCTCCTGGCTAATGTCCTAGACAGGGCTAAGATTCCATGAATGAACCATCTATAATGAACCATTCATCTATAATGTAGCCCATAAAAAAAAAAAAACATAGATATAATGTTTCTATTATTCAAAAAAAAAATGTTTGTTCTACCAGTTATATCTATAATGAACCATTCATCTAGCCTTCACCCGTTGGGTGCATCAAAATCCCATCAAATCACCGAACTACCTAGAATCATCCAACGTCCACCGAAAATCCCATCAAAATCCCATCAAATCCCGTAAAATCATCCCAACATCCCAAAAAAAAACGATCAAAAACACAAAAAAAACTGACAAAATATCTCATCACATTACCCAACATCCACCAAAATGTCCACGCTCCAAAGGCTCCCTGGCTGCGGATCGCTTCCGGTCCAAGCTGCCACTGCGGTGCATCCGTCGGCCCAAGCGGTGCCACCGCTCGGCCGCCGGGGATCAGCAGGGCCAGGAGCCAATCCTGTCGTTTTGGGCCACAAGGATTTCACCGGGAAAAAAATGGTGATTTTATGGGATTTTCATCAAGTTCATCAGAAAATAGGGATTTCATGGGGGAAAAACAACGAGATCGGGATTGAAGCCACAACACTTGCAAGGGGGTCCCCAAAACAGGGATTGAACCATCAACAATGGTGAGGATATACTGCATTTGACAAGAGTGTAGGGAGGTTCCATAATATTGGATACACAATCCCCGAGCAATCTATTGGGAATATAAACAATGGCCGATTGATCTGTATAATTATACTTACAGTACATATAGAATCATGTGTATATACATATATATATATGTGTGTTTACTGGAGGGTATATCATAGTATATCGTAAAAGGCCATCATAACACATTATAATATTGATTACCATTGATATCAGTGGTATTAAGATGGGATCGTAAAAATGTATCTGTAATATTACAGGGGGAAACCCACTGACGATTGATTACTCCCATGTTTTGCCACTTTCGCCACTGTCACTACTATCTATAGCATGATGCTATTGCCATTAATATCATATTACCCCATTCCATCCGTTGGTTAATCATCAGTTGTCCTATTGGATATCCTATGAAACATCAAACATCAGTATGGATATTGACTAATAGGATAGCACTAAGATGTTATAAATGTCAAGATTTAATATAGATTCATATGTATATATATATTATAAATATGATTCATCATCCCATTTGATTAAATGCTACTATCCTACTATGTGGGGGGGTTCCCAAAGTAGGAATCCCCAAATCATCCCAGTGATTAGACAATGTTTTTCTATTGAAACCTATGGTCTTCAAAATCTCAATGGTCATACCATCCTTCATTTTCCGAAAATCCCCCATTTTTATCCTGAAGCCTATCTGGTTGGTGGTATACCTACCCCTCTGAAAAATATGAGTCAGTTGGGATGATTATTCCCAATATGATGGGAAAAATTAAAAAAATCATGTTCCAAACCACCAACCAGCTATGCAGCTATAGCATTTCCACACCATGACTTAAGAAACCTCCAATGTGTGGGTACCCTCCTCCACACGTTCCAAGGCTGCACCACAGTGCACCAGGTGGAAGGCGTCGCCGCCATCGAAACTGCGCCCGTCTTGGCATCGCATCTCCAAAGTCTCTGGCACCTGAGATGACGAAATGTGGAAAACATGTCAAAAAAATGGGAGAAACCATAAGAAACCATAAGAAACCATAAGAAACCATAAGAAATCCAAGTTGTATATAGTTTTATATCAAACATCTATATCAGAACTCATAACTATAAAGAATTTTAAAAGATGATGAAGAATGAACACTGGATGTTAAGATTCAAAATGACCGAGAATTCAGGGGTTTCGAGATGCTACTTGACTCGTATATGGCTGGTTGCTGAGAAAAAGAACAGAAAAAAAAACAGAAACAACCGATTGCAATATGGCCTGTGTTCCACATGTTATTTTGTACTTCTAATTATTTATAATATATACTCAAATCAGTTACCCTCTGGATTTATCTGCCAGTCAATCCAGTCAGAAAATAATTGAACTCAATGGGCCATTGATATGCGTTAAACCATTTTTCACTCAAAAAAAACATCCAAAAACCATGAGAAAATGCAGCAAAACCCCTAAATGCTAAGCCGCTAAGCACCTAAACCCTAAGACCCAAAGTCAAAAAAGAAACCTAAGACCAACTGCTCCTCGGCACCAGCTCCTGGTGATGTTTCGCCACATTGCGCTCCGCCAGTTGGACCAGTTCCTCGATATGCTCCAGGGCTAAGACGTGGCCTCGGCCCTCCACCAGCCGAGCCAACCTGGGCCAGTTTTGGGCCAGTTTGTCGAAGAAATGGAGGAGTTGACCATGAACCATGGGGATTTCATCGATTTTAATGGGATTGAATCGGGATATCATGGGATATATAACATTATATAACCAACATATGTCTGGTTGGTGGTTGGGCCCTACCCCTCTGAAAAATATGAGTCAGTTGGGATGATTATTCCATTCCCAATATATTGGAAAGTCAGAAAAGTCATGTTCCAGTCACCACCAACCAGATATATGATTCGGTTCTGTCTGAGAATGATAGGATGTATAGCCCAAAATTAATAGGCATCCGAATAGGGAAAATGATGATAATCCATTGGACTTTGAGGTACCCTGCATTCACACGATGCTTGTTGGATATGTCACACCCTTATTGTTGATATGTGGCGTGGTCAAGCTAGATGAGATAAATGGTAGCCACCATTTAATCCATCCAAACGCAAGAAAAAACAGCATAATGGGAATAAAAAACCCTATGGATGGATTGATGACCATCCCGGTAATTCTGCATTCCAACTCTTGACCATGTTATCATCCAAGGAATGACCGATGGTGATAGGTACCAATATCATGGACCCCAAGTTCTCATCCAAGCCATTGGTCTGTTTCATGGGGAAACCCATGTTTCTTGGAGTACCCCATACTTCCGGTTTTAGTCTTGGAAGGCTTTCCCAGATCTGTTTGTGCAAGAAGCAGTGATAGCTACCGTGCCGATTTTGGGTTGGAGGGGGGTTCCTTTGAAAGGGTTATACAGTTATACAATGATGTGCACCACTATATAAAAATAGCGGGATACGGGATGGTTTCCTGCAAACTTTCTCTCTGCGTATATGACATGATATGGATCAAAGATACCCAAACGGCCCAAACGATCCATTAAAAGAAATGCCATGGTTCATTTTGCCACTCACCTTTGACTTGGATTTGCTTAAAGAGCCCCTGAGAAAAAAACCGTAGATGAGTTAAGTAGTGGATTTCCCTTTGGGAAAATAATCCAAATCTGCAGCATAGTGAATGAAGGGAATCTACCCTCTGGTAATTTAACATAGCTATGGAAAATCACCATTTTTAATGGGAAAATCCACTATAAATGGCCATTTTCAATAGCTCTTTTGACATAACCAGAGGGTACTTCAGATTCCAACCAGCTACTCCCTTGGCCAGGACACAAGGTGGCCATGCAACCGCTACCGCTCCCAAGGTCCAAGACACGAAGGTGCCTTGGAGCCGGGGCACCTTTTATCAGTGGAGGGGTGACCTGGTAACCTATGGATAGAGAGGATCTACTTAGGATGACTAAAGTGATCAAGATATGACTAGAGGAGGTAATTTTGGATCCATCGAAAAAATCTATTATGATTTGGCAGTGTGTCAAAACCTTGTACCCCTGGTGAACATCAAAATAGCTGGTAAATGGATGTTCATCCCATTAAAAATGGTATGTATAGGTATTGATCCATAGCCATGTTATGATTTAAGCATGACCAAAACGGCTGCGGTCGACAAAAAAAAATTGACTCGCCTGACTACGAGCACGATCACTTCGAACGCCAGCCGAGGACTGGGCGACACGGACAGGCTCGATGCGTTTTCCTGAAACACGTGCGGCATCCTATGGCATTGTCGCATCGTCGCAGACATCAGGCAATCGACTGGAAATCACTCGGCTGTTTTCCCATGGACCCATGGAGTTTCCCTTGACAGAAAAAAAGGGGTGCAAAAACACCCAAAAAAATGTGAGCAAAACATAATTATGTGAGCTTCCCACCGTGACTATGAGTCAAAACCCTGGTGCTTTGCCCCAAAATCGTTGGGATCTATGGATGTTCATCCCCCTTTTTGGGGGAAAATCATAGGGTGTAACCCATCCCCCATCGCCCCGAAAGCCTCTGATTTCAGCGCTCCTGTATCAGCTCCAAGGCCGCACAGTGCACATGAGGAGCAGACACCTGCAGCATGGCCAAGCTGCGGGTTTTTGTCATGGTATATCCTCATTATATCCTCGATATATGGTATACCTCAGCATTAATGGTATCCTCCAGTTTTTTTTACACCAAGATATACGGACACTCCATGAAAATCCGCCATGAACGTAGATCATTTCCTAGGGACACCCTGTAGAGAATTTCCATAGCTATATGATCTATATGTTAGTTGACTGGAGGCTACTCTGATGTACTGCCAAAAATCCATTCAAGGTTGAACAAGATCAAGGCGTCACATCTCAACCGTCAATGTTTGATCATGTTTGATTAAATTTTAACTTTGGGGACTTGCAAAGATCTAACCATTTGGAGCTATCAAACTCAAACATCAGTCAACATCAGTCAACATCAACCAACATAATCATGACATGGGTTTGTCTCAAAATAGGGGGAAATACCTCAGAAATTGATGGCCGTAAATTGAGGTATCCCCCAGTTTCAGGCGGACCCATCGCCCGTATTTGTTGGTTATATCCCAATAAAATCGCGTTAGATCCATTTTTTGGGTTGGTGAACATCCTGTGAAATCCCATTCTTTCTTGCTTAACCACGTTTTTTCACCATGTTTCATCCATGTTCACCATTTACCCTCTGGTTATTAACATAGCCATGGAAAATGCCCCATTTATAGATGATTTTCCCATTAAGACCTCCATTTATAAGGGATTTTCCATGGCTATGTTAAATAACCAGATGGTAACCACCATATTTTCAGCATTTTTCATCACCAGATCATCCCATTTTTCATCACCGTGCCTGTGCCCCGAAGCCCATGACAACTGCAGCATCCTGGTAAGGCTCCGCATCGCCTGTGGGGTTTACCAACAGAGTCCCATGAAAATAGATGGAAAATCGATAAAACACCTGATTATCTATAGATATATAAAAATATACATATACAGGCCTTTTTTTAACTGTATGTATATATATATTGCATCCCACAGAAGCATCTTGCTACCAAGGTTGTTTGGAAATATCCACGTCATATTATACTGTATATATAATGTGTATATATATATACACATACATATCATTGTAAGTATTATCATTTATAGTCATTCATCCACAATATGAGGGGATCCCCATGGATCCCCATTTGCTAGCAAAGCCAATCGAAAGCCGTATTGACCAGTGGATAATCAGGGTGACGTCCATCCCAATTCATCCCCAAGTATTAAGGATTAATGATTAACCGCTACTGTACATAGCAACCCAAAGACATAGAAAAGAAAAATCCTGGCAAATTATTTATCAAATCCAAAAAATCATGGCAAATTCTCTTTTCTCTGACCCTTCCTTGGGAGTTCCTGAAAGTAATCTACCAACAAAGTACAACTTGCCGTTTACACTGCCTGTGACGAAGTCGCCCCGATCCACGCGCTCATAGGCCGAGATGGCTTCAGGACTTTTCAACAGGCCATGCTCTTGGAGCCGCCAACAAAGCTCCTGCAGTTTCTTGGATGCTGCGGATGGTTACGAAATCACCAGTTGATAGGTGGTTTTTACATCCCATGATTTATAGAGTTTCAATGAGTTTCAACCATCCTTTTGGTGGTGGATTTCGCAACCATCCACAGTATGATGCTCTTTTTTTGTTGGGACACAATGGAGGTGTCACTTTGGGCGCACAAAAATCCCATCATCGAGTGAGCATTCACGTTTTGAGTATCCGGATATTGATCAACCAAGAGGCCGCCTCTTGAAAATCATTCTGAAAGAAACTTCCCCGATATTTCCCATCAGAAAGAAAGGTTGCTTCACAGATAATTATCCCCAATTTACTACAGATCTACAGTATCTGAGGATTTGCAAGATGTTTTTTTTCTGCATCCTTTTATTTGGGGGGGTGCCATACACCATGAATATCCATGAACATCCATGAACCAGCCGTATTAAAACCAGCGCAGCGCTTCCATGTGCTTCGCCGTCCTGGTGGCTGGCCGCCGTACTCAGTCGCACTCCACAAAAGCGACAGCGCGGGACCTGATAGCTCCACGTGTTTTTCACGAATGGACTACTTATGGAGCTTAGAATCCCACAGTTATACCCATTATATAATAACTATTAATTGCCAGTCTGAACCATTACATACCATTACTAATTGCCATTAATAATCATTGGTATCCCATGTAGTTATACCTTTAAAAAAAAAAAAGAAAAAACACTGGTCTTCAGCTGCAAGTCTGGACTGGTCACTGGTCCTACGGTAAATCCGGGGGTCTAAATCTCGGATCTCAAATGGGAAAGTGAGTCCCTTACAGCTCCCTTAACATGGCTATGGAAAATAAACCATTTATCTGGTTGGTGGTTTTAACATGGTTTAACCATCTTGAAAAATATTAATCAATGGGAAGAATTATCCCATATATGAAATGGAAAATAAAATTCATGTTTGAAACCACCAACCAGTTATAGATTATTTACATATTAATGGTAATTTTCCAGTTCGCTAGGTTAGTTTACTAGAGGGTACTCTCATAATTCTGGATTTCCTAAAGATTTCGGTCATCGGGTCATCACCTTTTCGCCAAGATCCTGAGTTCCACCAGCAGCCACTTAAAGGGGACCACCTCTAACATCAAAGAAGCTGATCAGAATCCACGATTCTGAAGCCTAAAAAGGCTAATAAAGTCTAGAGCTAATCTGTGCCAATATTATTATAGACTACAAAATATTAGACTAATAATTAGTCTCCCATTGAATCATATTAATGAGTTTGAAAGACGTCATATTCTCGCTCACATGTTTCCCCCCATGCTTCACATGCCTGGCTATCTGCCATTGACGGCTGCGCACCCATCGCACATCATCTGGTCCAAAGATCAAGTTTGATCCAAAGTTTCAATGTTTTTTCAATGGCTTGGTTTTGCTGGGAAAAAAAATACTGCTGAACCCATTGTTTTTCATGATTTTCGTTACACACCCCAAAACAAGGGGTCCTGTGGTCGTCCTTTTTCAATGTTCTCTTCAACCCATTCGTGGAAAGTTGCTGAAATGATGCGGCTACGGCAGAATTTCCCAGGGTCCTCCTTGATCTGATCAATCAAAGATCGTCTGTCATCCTGGTACTTCTCTCGAAGCATCAACCCTAATAGAATGTGTATTTGTTTGCAGCCTTTGTGCTTGAGCTAAAACAGCTAGCTGTCTCATATAGAACTAGCATTGGATCGCTGTTCGACCCGCAGGCAATCTGGGAATTGCAGCTGCATAGTGCTGCAAATATGAAGTCCAACAGTGCCAACCGAACATCCGAATTGCACCTCTAAAAATGCTTAAACAACGCAAAAGACAACACTACTTCGGGGTGAAGTTGCACTAATTTTTGTGGGTTATAGTTCACCTAATACTAGTTGTAAGGGCACCATATTCCAACTTCTGGAGGTTCTTTCATCCCAATAGTTGTCCCACAAAAAAATCACCATTGATTACCCTCTGGTAAACTAACATAACTATGGAAAATCATCATTTTTAATGGGTAAATCCACTATTTCGACTGGGCCATGTTCAATAGCAAACTGTTAGTTTACCAGAGGGTTGATAATCCTGATTATTAGCTATAGTAACTAGTTATCATCCAATAGCTATGTTAGTTTAGCAGAGGGTATCATGAATAGCCATTCATATCATTCATAAGCCCAACCTCCTTTTGGGTCGACCATGTCGAAGCGAAATTTGCTCGCCTTGTTCCGTAGGATCTCATTTTCCCGCTGCATCGCCTGCCAAGGGTCACACCATGTTCTTGAATGAGGACCATCCCCCAAGAGGTTCCCCCTGGGGACCAGGTTTTCATTCATGAAAATGGTGATTTATAGGGATTTACCCATTAAAAATGGTAATTTTCCATAGTTATACTGGTCGGTGGTTTTAACCATCTTGAAGAATGTTAGTCAACTTACTGGTGCGTTTTACGTAGGGAATGGATGGGTTGCTGGGGGTTGCTGGGATTAATTATGATTAATATAGTTCTTGTGGATCATTCCCGAAAATTCCCCACGTAAAACGCACCAGTAAGTTGATGGCACAGTGCCATGATTCACTGCGGATTCACTGAGAATCCTACTGAGAGCCGCCGTCGGAAGTCTTCAGCCTGGACGCAATTCATCCAGGCTGAGAACTGTCGAACTGTCGAACGTTCCATTGAACTGAAGCTTGATTCGTAGGCACTGATATTGGAGCAAATGTTTTCAGATATTAT